GTTACAATGGACGGCGCAGGCCATCACCAGACTGATGCAGGCTGCCAAATTCAGCGATCATTCTCTTCTGATAGGTGGGACGCAGCGCATCTACAACAGCTGCCGAAGATCTAGCCAAATATTCTCCAACGCCAGATCCTTGAAAAATGTGGAAGTTCATTCATTTACTTTGTGTGTTTTGTGGATTTAGAAAAAGCCTACGAACTCCGCGAAACAATCTATGGGCATGCCTGCTAACATATGGAATCGATGGACAGTTGTTGCGGGCCATTTAATCACCATTAGTTCATGCCGGGTGCTGCGTCGGAATAAAATGGCTCCAAGTCGACACTATTCATGGTACACACTAATCTCCACCAAGGCTGCGTTTTGTCTCCTTCTCCATATGCTGCACATCAGTCAAACTGTCTGGCGCAGCCACGACGCTGAGTTTACCAGCGTAGTAGATGTAGAGACGAGGAAGCTGCTGTTTGCAGACGACCTTGTTTTGTTCTGAAACTGATCTCCAGCGCTCTCTGGAAAGTCTTGTAGCTGATTGGAATGTGATAAGCATGCGTGTGAACGTATCTAAGACGAAAAATTTAATGCATCCTCGCTCTCCTGTCAGTTGTTCACTTCAGATCAATGGAAAAGCAGTGGAGTAGTTCAAGTACCTTGAGATCATGTTTATCGGTCATGGAAAATATCGACCGACGAATTGGAGTAACCAGTAGCATTCAGTTTGAACAAGCGTCAAACATTTTCACTAAAGCAAAGCTGAATCTGACTGAATAAGCGCTCAACGTTCAAATCGATCTTTATTCCCATGCTCACCTACTGTCATGAGTTGCTGACCATTACTAAAAAACTTCGACTGTAGGGTACGTCGCAAAAAATGGGCTTTCAGAGAAGATTCGCTGACCTTACGCCCCTCCACATGCTGCGGAATGCAGAAATCAGTGACAGCCGTGGTGTACAGTTTTTGCTACTTCAGATTGAGAAGTTACAGCTACGGTGGTTTCGGCATGTATTGCGTAATTCTCCAGAAATGAAGGCTAAGCAACTGTTTTTGCCCATCCAACCAGGAGAAAGCCCAGAGGACGGTCAAGGTTAATATGGTGGAATTACGTATGGAATGAGCCTGCTCCAGATTTCAGTTGGCTTCTACCGAAACTTAGTGTGACACATGATCAGAAAAGTAGGAAGCAAAAGATCTTGTGCGTCTATCTAACCTGACTCGGAAGAAGACGCGGTTATGAAGGCTTAAGTTGACTGTTTTTTCATACTTCGCGCCCATGTTGTCTTCTCTCGCGTTTGGGCCGGCAAATATTGTTTTGAATATAAACTAATTCTAATCAAATAATATTAAACATGAATGCAACGTTTACGAGTCGTTAAGCCGAGATAATCGTCCCTTGAGCTTCAGACTATCATTTGAATAAATCGCCCAGTGAGTGCTAATCGGAAATCGTTTCCATGGAGGTGTTCCTGTGCTGGATGCTAGTGTTTCTTTGTCCGCCCTCTCCTCTGATCATCAGATATCATTTTATATCACAAGCTAATGAATATTTCCTACTTGAATGATCATAGTGAGTCGATAATCTCGCAACAACTGCTTGCCCAGCTGACCGGCAGAAGACCCAGGGGACGGGGGCGCCAAAAATTAACCTGCTGTCAGTGTATTGAATGAGTCTTCTCTCGTCTAAGGTTGCCTTCTGACAATGCTGGAACGCTGGCACTGGATCAGGAACGTTGCAGACAGCGTCTATAGTTCTGCCTCGACGACAGGGAAAAAGCGGTCATGGAAAATGAATCGCTTTAATCAAGGAACCGACTCAAATGCACACGGTGCAATCATTCGAGAATCGGTTAGCAAGTCGACCACTTAAAAATAAGTCAGCATGCAGATATTACCATACCTGAACTTGAAATGACGTGATCCTTACAATCATGCTGTCTATTTAGTGCGCTTCACCACAGCAATTCGCCTTGACCCATCTAATAGTTACTGAAGGTCTAGCCAGGAGTCAGTCGCAAATTTAATGATGATTTAATGATTAAGAAAAACGCGAATTTATTTTTCATGCTATGAAATCCATTAAGCATTAGATAACGATTAATCGATGGCTTGATTCCATATGGTTACTAAGTTCTGTTAACCTCCGTTCATGAAAGATAGAACAAGTTCGTCGCATAAACAGATAACTGATAATCATAACTATCATGAAGATACGAGAACTACGAAAAGCAATCACTAGCAGAAACGAATTCCATTCATTCTTTCAACTGTTCGTAGAGTTTTGGCACATAGTCATCGTACTGAGCCTAAAGACAAAATTTCAGAAAATAGACAAAAATAAATCGATAATAAAATCACTAACTAAAACGAAGGAAAACTTGACTATATTTGTGTATATGCAAAAACCAATGCTTTTCATCATGCTACTCACTGATATAGCTGTTTCACTGTAACGCTTGTATACTTCCTCTATTACCAGTTGAATTTCAAAAACGAAAAAAAGATTTATAAAGACATAAGTGATAAAGACACTATGCAGATAAAAGCAGCAAACGCATACCTAACGTATTAAATTTAAAATTTTAACTGTGTATTTCAATAACATTTTCTTTGCGAACGATGATTTATCAAGGCACCATAATTCATAATTCTGCATTAGGCAGCGGTCCTTTGATCATGGTTCACTTTGATTTTTGTTAAACTAGCTCAATATAACTGAGCTGTCTTAGTAAATTCTTTTAAATCAATGTATATTTGACGCCCTGACTCAAGCAAGATCGGCCAATAAGTACCTTAAACGATACAGTACAAAAGAGGTATTAATATAACACTGAATCAAATGATACCTGATAGAAATTACCAGCAATTGGAACACCAAGTTTATGCTTTAGAGCAAATTTCGCCGCGCTCCATTTCCCACGGTTAGCCGCTGAACGGTTCGTTAAATGACCATGTTCAGCATCTTGGATTTTACCTGGCTGTTTGTAGACAAGGAAGACATAGCGATGGAGACCTATTAAATAAAGCAAACCATGGCGATAAATGTGCACTGTGCCAAAATCACAAACTTACCCGTATCTTTCGGTGGACCTGCTCCGATATATTCGGACAACACGTCGCCCTTTGAAACGTGTTCTTCAGGAACATTAACGATCAGCCAATGATGCCATTCGCGGAATTCAGGATTTTTTCGACTTGGAGCATCTGGATCTAAAAATATCGTGATAAAATGTCTGAAGCAAAATTAGAGCTATCGGTATCTGCTGTGTGGAGGACGAAACCATAAGAGCCAAATGACCAGACCGACAGTAACGTAAGTATCAGCGACGTTCATAACACTGCACTCAGTTTTATCAAGAAGAGTCAGAGACCAAATCGTGTGTCGATTCGACTAGTTTACCTTTCTTTAATAGAATGACCTGTTTACACGTCTTCCTGAAGAACAACAGTAAAAATGGACTTGCAAACTAAACAATAAGGACACCTGAAATGAAAGTTCAGTTTTTATTACACTTTATATGACGTCTATCATTTGAGAAGTTTAAGAACCTTCCCTGACATTAGTAACACCGCAACTGGTCAGGTCTGTCTTAATTCTTAAGGGCAAACCTTCAGCTATGTAGTGAATACACTCTAGTATTCATTCATCTGTCTCAAGCGCGGCGAAAACAGAATACTTCTGGCTTAAATTTGAAGCCACAAATTTTGAGAGCTAATTAGGCATATTGAATTCTAGGTCAGCATATTAAGATATTAAGATATTTTATATCATCTCATAAGAAAACTCATATCTGTCGGAAGCTGATTTACATGATATTCTAATTTTTCAAAAGGAAACTGTCCTTTGCCTTTAACAATGATAGAAAGAAAAGATGGTTAGAGATGAAGCTACACATTCGCAGAGGATGTATTCAGCAGGTTTACTACTACGATACAGTCTGAATGACAGATCTGAATAACGACTGCAGAAACTTCGTAGACATTTGAGCAGGCGCACTTTTACCTATCAACTAGAAACTGCCCAGAAGGTATGGGCTGTTCGACGCATTAGGCGATAGGATTTACCGTGTGTGCTTCTCAATATCTCCAAAGTTCAGCGGTACAAGATATTCTCCTTTTTATCTAATATAAGATTACAAGAAACTAGTTTTTGCTGCTAAGAACGGAAGCGGTGGGAATCCAGAACAAACTACCTGCGAAAACAGAACTATTTAATATAAGCCTGAAAGGCATTCTTCCCTTCCAATTATTAATCAGTGATTCTTTGCACTGAAAAATAGAACAAAACCTATTTTTAAAAAGGGACAAAATACTGCATCTCGATCTCGGGCAGGGAGATTGCTGAATGATCCAATACACTTTAAAGCCATATAATAAAGGAATTCTATTTCTACAATTTCAAGGAATCCACATTAAGCCTTTGTACACTCACATCAAAACCTTTCAGCAATCGGGCCACCAATCCATCCGTATTAACCAACAAACGATACTAATGATATTCCAATACCGATTTTGCTCTACACAATAAAGAAGTTATTATAGCTAGAGTAGGCTGCATAATCGAACATGCACTTTATTCAACAGTCATCGTTAATAGCCTACATGAACGGAAGATACGTTAAACATGACAGACTGTAGTGTAAAACCATGCCAAACTGAGGATACGGATTACAAATCAGTTAAAAATTACGTGAATAATTACCTGTCAATATTAAAGTATAAAGCGCTCCTGGTTCGGAGGGCCATTTGATATGTATCGGTGGATCTTTAACCTGAGTCGGTGTCAGGACGTTGCCCAAATTGACTGAAACGCCAGAACTGAATTTAACCTGCATAAATAATCAATTAAAAAGTTTAATCAAATAAATTTTGTTACTTCGATCAGGTGATCAGGGGCTTTCGAAATCACGTCAGGCACCACTCCGTGTTCCGTAAATTTCTGTGACGTCATTGCGGAAGAAGCTTCTCTTAAAAAAGACATGAAAAATGTTTAAAAAAGCATAACTCGTACTATGCAACGCGCCAGGCCAAAAAATAACAGCTAAAATTAGCGCTTTAAGCTAGATGCATGTTGTTCGAGAAAATGCAGTATCGCCTGCCTTACTATTTCATTTAGCTTCTATCGTCTGAGAAAACAAGGGCCTTTGTGCCTTTGTCAAAATTTGTGAATCTCATGAGAAACGACTCTCCTTTAAAGATAGTTGCTCAACTTCGGAGGCTTTTGCGAAACTCAGGTTTCCAAAATTCATCTGTACATTCTTCAGGAAATTCTAGACCACACTCACTGGCCGAATGAAAAGTGCAGTCGATTGAAGGTTAGGCATTTACCATGAGTCCTGAGTTAGTACATCTGGAGATGACATTATGCATTATGTCTTTCTTCTGTGTGAAGCAACGGGGGACCGAGATATCAAGATTACCATAATCTCTCTTATTCGGTCGAGAGTGGTAAAGACAACACTACAGTACAAAGGAAGGTATTGCTAAGGTGCCAATATTGGACGAAAGTCAAAACTTCGACTAATTAATAGGAAAGTGAAAAATCAAGTAAGAAAAATGTCGGCAACTGAATAAGACAAAAAGACGACATGAAATATGCATAACAGAACTGTTGCAAGCCATCATCTACCGGCAGTTCACTTCTCGAGGAACACGCTGCTCGAACGTTACAATTTCCTATTCACAGCTTTAAATACTCTTATTCTAGCGCAGAGACACGTGTCAAGTAAAAGATGTAAAACTAGGCCATAAAATCCAATAAGTCAGACTATGTTGCATGGGTAGCACACTTGCTATGAAAACAGAGATTTATTTTCATTAAATAAAAAACAAGGATCTAGACATCTTCAAACAGGGAAATATATAACAAGCAGCAGGTTCGGGAGATTTCTAGAATTACTACTCTCTGTCAACCTGGCAAGCTCCGTAATCATGATTCCAACGTGCGGCAGCGCTATATGTAAAATATATCCTAGACGTCCGGCTCTCGTTTGTTCTTTCGTCCCGCCTTCATGTGGCTACGCCCACAGAGTTTGATT